CTGGGTCCTGCTMGGGGTCTGTGCCAACACCTGGCATACCTGGCACAGCTGCCTGAGCCACTGCTTCCCTGTCCAGGGCAGGACACAGTGCTACCACTGACATTGTGCAGAATATTCTCTCTGAAGAGGATCACTCTTAGGAAAATTTGGGGATCTTTGAGAGGCCGCACTTAGGTAGTGAAGCTGCTGACCTTTTCAAAGTCCTACTCATTGGCAGGTGGCATATACTACATTRATTTACTGTTTTCTCTGTATGCAAGCTCCTTTTAGGGTCTGTTTCAGAATTCTTCCCATGGGGGTTGTGTAACAGTGTCCCATAAACAACCTGACTTCTGGGAGGAGAGAGGGGAAGTGAATCCCRGGTGCTACTCATGCTTCAGGCTGGGCATCATTCTCCATGGCAGATTTTAATACAGCCTTGTTAGTTACTGAGACTTAATCAGCATCAGAGCAGTGAGGAGGAAGGAGATGGGAGGCTGGAAAAGGKTGAGGTCAGTTGCCTGGGGAGGGGCTCAGCTACAATCTCTGTTTGCAGAGTTCTTTGCCGATAATTTGGGTGACTTCTTCATTTTCCTGCGGCGTTTTGCTGATGACATCTTGGAGACGTCTGCCGATTCCCTGGAGCACATCCTTCACTTCGTTACTGTTTTCATGGGGGATGTGGAGAGGTAGGTGCAGTCCTGGGTGCTTGTTGCAGAACACCCAGAGTGGAATTTGCAGAGCTGCCTTGAGGCTTGGTTTTGTAGCTGTGAGCAGGTTGTTCTCTTTGGAAGAGCTGAAATTTGCCTGCAGGAGACACAAGRGGAACAAAGCCCTGCCTATAGGCCACGGGCAAGGTTCAAATGGGATGTAGTGCTTAAATRTGTGTTTGGTTGTATGATGCAGAAACCTCATCAGGTACAGCCATTAAAAGGAGCTCCTGGAATTGATCTCTCTGATGTCCACTGAAAAGATCCGAGTAGTTCTGTCAGCCTGATAAGACATTATCCTGCCTTCTGCATTTCTGGTGTTCATTCGATTACAGACAGTGTAGCAATCAGGCACTCAAGCATGGATGGGCACAGATCCTGGAGTGATTCCTGAGCAGCTCCGTTCTGCACCGTAGCCCTCATGCCATCCTGGATTTGCTTTCTCTTTTCTCTTGCAGGATGAAAAATCCTCACCTGCGAGCCAAGCTGGCCGAAGTGTTGGAAGCTGTGATGCCTCACTTGGATCAGGCTCAGAACCCACTCGTCTCCAGTGTGTTCCACCGCAAGCGAGTGTTCTGCTCTTACCAGCACGCTGCCCATCTGGCCGAGGCACTCATCAAAGTCTTTGTGGATATCGAGTTTACAGGTGAGCACGCAAGGGGAAGAGTGGTGCTCCCTGTGTAGCACCTGCTGGGGACTGTCCACGTGAAAGGCTCTTTGGCTTTGTCCCAGGTGACCCACACCAGTTTGARCAGAAGTTCAACTACCGGCGTCCCATGTATCCCATCCTGAGGTACATGTGGGGCACCGATTCCTACCGGGACAGCATAAAGGTGAGGCGAGAGTGATGCCTGAGTGTGCCCATGTGCAGCTCTGTATGGAGCACGTGGGTTCCTGGCCTGCCATTGGGACTGTGCTGCACCATTCACTGCTCTCCCTTTCCTTGCAGGCTCTGGCTGATTATGCCTCAGAGAACCTGGAGGCAATGAGCCCCCCTCTCTTCTTGCGCTTCCTTAACCTGCTCATGAATGATGCCATTTTCCTGTTGGATGAAGCCATACAGGTAAGGCTGGGCTTGTGTGCCATCAGCATCACGTGAACAAGTTCTTCTCTGGTGCAATACTGACGTCCAGAAGGGGGTCAGCTTGCCTGGCCCTGCCTGGTAATCTTTGCAGTAAGTACTTGCAGGAAGCAATCCCAAGAWGGTGTGGCCAATGCCCTGGGAGAAGAGGTGAAGACAGGAGGAAGGGGGGTCTGGGGCCCTGCCTGCGAGTTACCCTTTCTTTCTCTGGGTTCAGGAGGCAGCTCAGAACCAAGAGGAGCAAAAGGGCTTTTTCAGATGCAACAGAGGAAGCATGCTGGGAAATCTGCCTGTTGCTAATCTGGATATACTGAGGCTTTAAACAATCATTTGGGGGTTTGATTCTCAAATCCCCTTGGTCTTTGTGCAGGTGTTTTATCCTAATAAAGRCCTTCTGTATCTAGACAGTTCTCCTTTGGGATTATAAGGGAATTCCAGGTGTCCTTATGTCCCTGGTGTATGTTGAATGTTTCTCCACTCCTTCCAGAGCTGCTGTTGCTGCTAGAAAGGGCTTTTTTGAGGAGCTATTACCTGCCAGAGAGCTGATTGCCAGGAGTCCGGCAGATAAGATGGGTGATATGGATGTTTCCCATCTGGTTTTGAGCGTTTCTGGACCTCCTTGGCTTCACCACCCAACCAAACAGTCCTTGTGTTCTGTCTTGCAGTACCTAAGCAAGATCAAAGTTCAGCAGATCGAGAAGGACCGAGGCGAGTGGGACAGCCTGTCCCCTGAGGCTCGCCGTGAGAAGGAGTCCAGCCTGCAGATGTTTGGGCAGCTGGCACGCTTCCACAATATCATGTCCAATGAAACCATTGGCACTCTGGCCTTCCTCACTTCAGGTAGGGACAACAGCTCCTCCTGCCTGCTGGGACCTAGAGAAGAGCCTTGCCAGGGAGTGGGCAGGCAGGAGCTTGGTTTCAGGGTGGTCAGAYCAGGGTAGAATTGCTGTGAATCTCAGCAAACTGGTATTTTCCCTTCCAGAAATCAAGTCCCTGTTTGTGCATCCTTTYCTTGCCGAGCGCATCATCTCCATGCTAAACTACTTCCTGCAACACCTGGTTGGGCCTAAAATGGGAGCTTTGAAAGTGAAGGATTTCAGTGAGTTCGACTTCAAGCCACAGCAGCTCGTGTCTGACATCTGCACCATCTATCTAAACCTTGGGTAGGCAGCAAGGGGAGTGAGCCTGTGGGTGGCAGGAGCCATCCAGGGCCACCTTGGTGATACTGGGGGAGAAATGCTTAGTTACACTCAAGCTTTTATTTAGTTTAGAGTTCTTTGCTATGGGAATGCAGCTGCTGTGGGAACTGTTTTGTGGCCCCAGTAAATGGGGATTCTCACACCTTTTCTCTCTTGTAACCTGTGGTGCAGGGATGAAGAAAACTTCTGTGCCACAGTTCCCAAGGATGGCCGCTCCTACTCACCAACGCTCTTTGCSCAGACTGTGCGGGTTCTGAAGAAGATCAACAAGCCTGGCAACATGATAGTGTCTTTTACTAACCTGGCTGAGAGGATCAAGGTGAGCACTGGAGGGAATTTTAATWAAAAAAAAAGGTGGAGCTGGCTCTCTGTGTCCTTTTCCCTCTGTGTATTGCTGCATCTTTGCTGTGGGCTGGATTTCTGGGAGTGGAGCTTGATCCCAGGTCCAGGTGGCTCTGCCTGCACAGAGCTGTGAATGCTGCCTGTGTTTTGAAGAACGGGGAGGCTGAATCCCTCAAAGCCACGTGTGTTCTGCAGTCTCTTGCAGACCGGCAGCAGCAGGAAGAGGAGACCTATGCAGATGCCTGTGATGAATTCCTGGATCCCATCATGAGCACTCTGATGTCAGACCCTGTCATCCTGCCCTCCTCCCGTGTCACTGTGGACCGATCCACCATAGCCCGACACCTCCTCAGGTGTGCAGCACAGGCCTCGTACTTTGATACTTTTGGGCATCTATTTTACATATCCAATGACTCTTCCTTGTCTCTCTTTTTTGTTTTTTTTTAATCTCTAAGACCAGGAGTGTCCGAATAATCTCCTTGATGTTTTGTTTTTCAGCGATCAGACAGATCCTTTCAATCGGAGCCCCCTCACTATGGACCAGATCAGACCAAACACAGAGCTGAAAGAGAAGATCCAGCGATGGCTTGCAGAGAGGAAAAAGCAGAAGGAGGAGGAGCTGGAGGACACGCTGAACTAAAAACCAGATCTTGTCCCCAAACCTCCTGTCACAGGCGAGATCACAGCCATGCTGGAGCAATGGCTGCAGTTGCCACCCTAGTGATGACCACATTTAATGCGTTGCCACTGCCTTTGGAGTCTCTCCTCGGACCTTCCCTGTCGGCCCTTGTTCTCTCTTTTCCTTGCAAGACTCACTCTTTCATACTAAGACTTTCCACTGCACTAGAGCTTTGAGCCTCAGCCTCGGGGAAGAACACAGCTTCTTCATGATGTGCTGCCCTGGCCCTCTTATCACCTGCTCTTTGTGTTGGCCACCTTCTTTTCCAGCAACACCAAACACCTCTCTCTGTTCCGTGTTTAAACTGTAACCATCACTGACTTGGTAGAAGCAATGCCTCCAGCCGCTCCTAGGGCAGGCTGGGGGGATGAACACGAGGGGGACATTTTTATGTGCCAGGGGTATAGCAGGGTTTACTTCCTCAATGGGTGTCGGGAGTGGCGACCGTGGAAATTAAACCGAGATCATCTTACAGCTGGTACTGGAGCTCTGGCAGCACCGGGAGCTGTGGAAAGGCCTCTCTGCGCTCGGTGGTGGCCGGGGTGGCTCCGGGGCGGGAGCGGTGCCTGCACTGGAGGGTCGGGATGGCTCTGGGATGCCCCGGGCGGGCCCGTTCCCCGCACTGGTGGCCCGGGATGGCTCTGGGATGCCCCGGGATGGACCCGGTCCCTGCACTGATGGCCCGGGATGGCTCTGAGGTGCCCCGGGCGGGCCCGGTCCCTGCACTGATGGCCCGGGATGGCTCTGGGGTGCCCCGGGCGGGCCCGTTCCCCGCACTGATGCCCGGGGTGGCTCTGGGGTGTCCCGGGATGGACCCGGTCCCTGCACTGATGCCCCGGGATGGCTCCAGGGTGCCCCGGGCGGGCCCGTTCCCCGCACTGGTGGCCCGGGATGGCTCTGGGATGCCCCGGGCGGGCCCGTTCCCCGCACTGCGCCGGTCCGAGCGGAGGCCCCGCCCCCTGCCCCGCCCCCCTGCCCCGCCCCGCCCGGCGCACGCGGCGCGGGGTCCTCGCTGCGGGCTGTCCTCGGCGAACGCCGGCGCGGTGAGGGCGGTGACATTGAGCGCAGCCATGGCCAAGGCCGCGCAGGGGCTCGTGCAGCGGCTCGTGCAGCGCGGGCCGGAGCTGATCGGCGGTGAGGGACCGGAGGGACCGGAGGGGAGCGGGAGGGGACCGGAGGGGACCGGAGGGGAGCGGGAGGGGAGCGGGATGGGATGGGCTGAGGAGGGAAAGGGCCGGCAGGAGGGAGCGGAGCGGAGGGGCTGGGATGGGATGGCGAACAGGGGCGGGGGCAGCGGGGCCCGGGCCCGGGGAGGCCTCCGGGGCTCCCGCCCTTTGCAAAACCGTCCCTCCGGTCCCATCCCCGCAGCCGCCGTGACCTACTCGAAGCCGCGCTTGGCCACGTTCTGGTACTACGCCAAGGTGGAGCTGGCCCCGCCGACCCCCGCCGAGATCCCCCGCGCCATCGACAGCATGAAGGGCCTGGTGAGGGCGTTCCAGAGCGGCCGCCTGGCGCAGCTCACCGTCCGGGTACGGGCCGGGCACGGTGCTCCCGCGGGAGCGTAACAGCCAGGCAGSGAAATGCTCTGCTCCTGCCCTGCCAGGCAGCGGGAACTGTTGTCAACATACCAACTCAAGGAACTCAGGAGCCGAGAGTTTAAAGTGTTTTATTTTATTGGCTTTGCTTTAACTCTTCCCTGCCTGGACCAGGCTGTGATTGTTCCCCTCAGGTCTCATAGTTTTCTGTCCCAGAGGAGCRAGTGTCCATAGCTGGCTGAATCAGCCCAGCCCTCTGGATCAGCTGTGTTATCAGTTGGCCTTGAAATTAATGTGTTTCCCCTGTGTGGGCTAAGAAGTGATCCTTTAAAGGACTGTAAAAAGCCACGAACAACAGCTGACCGTGTACTGGATGTTGTAGAACATCTCTGAGATGGGACGTGTTGAGGAGTGGTGGAACATGGCAAACACTGCTCCACTTGTGGGATTTYGCCTTGAGAACTGCTGAAGGGTGTGATTGTGGCTGCATGAGTGATGGAGGAGCTTTTGTGGGAGCCTGGGATTTAACCAGTGGCTTTTTCCTTTCAGGACGCGCTGAGGAATGGCCTGGTGGCCACAGAGGTGCTGATGTGGTTTTACATCGGGGAGATCATCGGCAAGCGCGGCCTCATTGGGTACAATGTGTGAATGCTTAACCTCAGCAATGCCAGCGGYGCTGCAGTGCTGGGTCTGTAAGGGGGTCTGTGATAATAAACCAGAAGCCCATATTGAGCTCTTGTGGTCCTTGTCTGGCACTCTGACAGGTGTCAGGCTATCCTGGGGGCAATGCTGGCAGGGATGGCTCCTCAAGAGGGGTCTGAGGGCCAGTCCCAAGGGTTCCAAAGCTGCTTTGGTGACACCACTTTTGGTCACCAGAGTCCTCTTTGCTCTGGGACACTCACTGCACCAGCAGTGGCTCCAGGGGAGGTCTGAGAGCCCCAAATCCAAACAGAGACTGCAAAGGGAAATATTCCATTTGTTCCTGAATGTACTTCCCATCAGCTAGTGGGAATCAAAACCACATTCCAGTACTTTCTACATTATAAAGAGCAATTTCCRTGGCTTACTGCATAGGGAATGTAGCACGGTTACAGACAGCTCTGCTGGTTTATGTCTGACTGGTGCACCATGAAGATAAGCAGACCTTTGCCATGTCAGSTCAGCTCCCAGCAGCCAAAGGTTGAGCTGTCCAGGGTTCTACCACCTTGCACATTGTCAGCCAGTCCTATTTGGTTATGTACAAAACYTGGTGAGTCACCTGCTTCTGCCACCAGCCTGGCCACAATTCCATGACTGCCTGGTGTGGCTCTCCTCTCTGTGCTGGAGAGGGCTTTGTGACTGCTCACTCCCCATGGAGGTGAGGCTTCCTCCCAAAGAGCCACAAAGCTGCCCAGGGCTGTGCCACATGCTCGAGGTGAGCAGGGCTGAGTGATGGCTGAACTGCCAGAACTGTCCCTCCCCAGGAGCTTTGTGCTGCTGTCATCACAAACCCTTCCAGCAGCAGGTGGAGACCAGCGAGGGGAATGGGCCAGGCCCCGCTGTGGGTGTGTGCAGCGTGTGTTCCTTAGGGAGAGACRGACATCACACATGGGATTTAATGTGTGAGCATGGCTGGAAGGAGGATTCTGAACCCAAGAGGACATCACTGAGAGCATCCCTGTGTGATCAGGCTCAAACACTTGCCTGTCTCTGATTGTTCCTGCCTGTGCATGCCTCTCTTGAGGCAGCTTCTGGTGGACATTCAGGGAGCTCCAGCTCTCACCAGCACTGGCCTGGCAAATGCTTTGGTGGGAGGATTGGATTAAGCTTCACTAGTAAAGAKTTCAGAGCTCAGAAATGCTCTTATCCCTTCCACAGTTTCTAGAGAGGAAGAAACCTCTTAATTTTAGTTCCTTGGAAATTTTCAAGAGAAGTCCCCCTCAGCCCTACTCCCACAGCAGAACTCCGGGCAGAAACAGCGTCTGTGACCCCAAAGGATCCAGCATCTTCTCCGACTTCTCTAAAACCACAACAGTGTTTGGCTGCCTCTCTCGGGGACAGTCTCCTCCCCGCCCCTGCTCCTTTCAACTGGTGAACTTCGGAGGAAAATGGGTATTTAATGTCCCCAAGCAGAGGGATTTACACCTGATGCGAGTGTTTACAGTGCTGCTCTCAGGGAGTACGACGGGCACTTGTTGGATGTTAACTCTGTTCTCGCTGTGCTGTCACAACGAGGTTGGCAGCCCGGTGCTGTCGCCGTCACCTTCCTCCCGGGGATGGCAGGCAGCGGAACGCGGCACCGGCGGGTGGCGGGGCCGGAAGGTGGGCTGGAGCCGCCCGTCCTCAGCAGCGCAGCTCGTGGCCGCAGTCCTGGTGCAGGGACCGGGCCGAGCACCGGACAGTCCCGGGGACGCGAAGCGCTCCGGGGGCCGCGGGCTGTGCCATGCTGGGCCCGGGGTCCCGCCCCGCGCCCCGCATACGGCCCGGCTGTATGCAGGGGGTCGGCAGCGCAGGCTATGCCGTATGCGCGGTCCTGGGCSCCGGCGGTTCGTGCTCCCGCTCGGCATCGCCGTCGGGGTTATGCGGGCAGCTTGCGGCCCGGTTATATGTCAGACAGGTTTCGGGGCGGGCTCGCGAGGAGCCCCGCGCCTGTATGGCACTGCGAGCTATGAGGGGCTGCGGCGACCGGAGTCTGAGCTATCCACGGCGGGGGGCTGCACTGGGGCTCGGGGCTGGAACCCTGCATATCGCCCAGCGTTATGCTGGCCTAGCACTGCTGSAGTATGGCCTATTCATGTGCCCGGGCGGCGGGATGGTGGAACCCCACAACCTGCATGGCGCCTGATGTTATGCAGCGCCTCCGCGGGCCGGCGAGGCGCTATGCAGGGCGCGGGGCGCGGCCCGGCCCCGCTCTCTGGCTCGTCGCCTCTCAGTAAAGATGGCGCACAGCGGTCGGTGGCGCTTCCCCGCCCGGCCCGGCAGCGGCGGCTGGGGCCGCC